TCTACCTAGTGCGATAGTGTACCGTGTGCGGTACAGTATCATAGTCTACCTAGTGCGATAGTGTACCGTGTGCGGTACAGTATCATAGTCTACCTAGTGCGATAGTGTACCGTGTGCGGTACAGTATCATCGTCTACCTAGTGCGATAGTGTACCGTGTGCGGTACAGTATCATACTCTACCTAGTGCGATAGTGTACCGTGTGCGGTACAGTATCATAGTCTACCTAGTGCGATAGTGTACCGTGTGCGGTACAGTATCATAGTCTACCTAGTGCGATAGTGTACCGTGTGCGGTACAGTATCATAGTCTACCTAGTGCGATAGTGTACCGTGTGCGGTACAGTATCATAGTCTACCTAGTGCGATAGTGTACCGTGTGCGGTACAGTATCATAGTCTACCTAGTGCGATAGTGTACCGTGTGCGGTACAGTATCATAGTCTACCTAGTGCGATAGTGTACCGTGTGCGGTACAGTATCATAGTCTACCTAGTGCGATAGTGTACCGTGTGCGGTACAGTATCATAGTCTACCTAGTGCGATAGTGTACCGTGTGCGGTACAGTATCATAGTCTACCTAGTGCGATAGTGTACCGTGTGCGGTACAGTATCATAGTCTACCTAGTGCGATAGTGTACCGTGTGCGGTACAGTATCATAGTCTACCTAGTGCGATAGTGTACCGTGTGCGGTACAGTATCATAGTCTACCTAGTGCGATAGTGTACCGTGTGCGGAACATTATCATAGTCTACCTAGTGCGATACTGTACCGTGTGCGGTACAGTAGCATAGTCTTCCTTGTTCGAGAGTATCAAAAGTTGAAGATGTGTTTATACTATACCTCCATGTAAGCGGTATTCATCCCAAATCTCGCTGGTACTTGGTAGTACTGACGATGTTCAAAGTGTTTTCTAAAACATGGCTGCTCTGCTTGCTCTATAGAAAGCGCTATCTAACAACAATTAGCCACTGTTAGTATTAACAATTAGCCTCCGTAGCAGACGTAACGTCTGCTACGGAGGCTACACAACAATGGTGTTCAACTTGATACAGGATTTTCATTTGGGGGCTCCTTACATACCAAATTGTCACTATGACGTCATATGACGGCAATATGATGTCATATCAACCTATGATTTATGCATTTTTTGGCTTTGAAAGGGGGGTCACGGGCACCGTATGACCCCACCCCCCCGCCTTGAATAGTGAATAGTGAATCTTGAATAGTGTCATCTTCGAAACATTGTAGTGTRCTGCAATGTGCACCATGTATGAATGATCATTATTCTTGGTGAAAATTCTGTTAGCGATGCTTTCCATTAAGCTATTAATACTAGTACCATTACCTGTAAATGGTGTCCAGGTACAGCTTCATGCAATGACAATGAAACCATTTCATATCTTCCTCTGAAATAATGTTGCGTTAATAATTATACGAAGTAAAACTAGATTTATSAAGAATGTACCTCTCTTCAATTTTATACGTATTCAGGAAGAATGATCCTGGTCTGGAACCATCTTCTGAGGGTGCAATATAGAAAGCAGCAGGGGCTGTAGGGGCTGCCTCAGGTGGCACTTCAACGATCCTATTGACATAAGAAAGCATCCCACTTAGAAATGTGTTAAAAATAGCTGTTATTTGAATAGACGCACTATCTGCATATATCTGCTTATGATAATAAAATTATAAATGGACAGCTCAGTTTCTTAGGCCACCCAACTATTCCTTGATAGAAAGAAAAGAACAAATGCGCACACATTTGTTATCGGCGCTCGCTCTTAGCTAAAACGGTTTTGATCCCGTGCGGCAAGGGATCATCGAGGTAATACCACAGTTAACCTGCATTTTGCTAAGAGCGCGCACTAGCGTACTAGCGTATGCGCATTCGTTCTTTTCTTTCTCTCAAGCAATAGTTGGGCACCCTATGGTATTACGTTAATCACAGATTTCCTCAGAGCATTAATTACTCACTCAAACTTTGCCTTTGGAACTGTCTTGAAATAATCCTTGAGCATTGGTTGTATTTGGTTGTAACATAAATCCTTGTACCTTGCCAGTAAGTCTTCCTGGAATGTAGAAAATCAAATAAATGAATAAAAGGGAAGAGAAATAGAGATGGTTGAATGAAAAGACTGGTCAAACCTTTTTCTCAAAGTAGAAGCGTTTGTCATTTCTTAACAT